AACTAGGTGAAAAGGTCAATAATCTGGAAACTAAAGTGCATAAATTGGGGAAAAAACTACTGAGGAGGTAGGACAACTGAAGGAAGAACAAAAAGCAGCTAAAGGGATACTGGGAGGAGTACAGGAGAAACAAAGTGAGCTGGAGGATCAAATCCTCCTCTTGCAGTTATGGGAGAAAGACAGGACGGTACAAATAAGAGGCCTACCAGAATCAGAGATAGAACAGAATTTAGAAACATATGTTACACAGAAAATTGCAGAATGGATGGGGGAGAGGAAAGACTGGTTGGAAGGATTGTTGGAGAGCTGTTTTAGAGTAAAGATGAGAGAAAGCAGACTGAGAAAGCAGCCAGGAGATGTTCTATTAACATTAGTTTCTAAAAGAATGAAGGATGCAATCCTTCAAAAGAATGAATGAATGCAATCCTTCAATCTCATGGTTGCTGGACAGAAAGTGGACATTTTTCAGGAGATTCCATTGAAACTGAGACTTAGGAGGACTAAATATCGATTTTTATCAATAGCACTGAAGAGGGTAGACATCAGGTACAAATGGGAATATCCAGAAGGGATATCCTTCTATTTATGAAAAAGAGATACAGGTTGACAACAGAATACCAGGCCAAAGAATTTTTTGAAAAAAATAGAAGAGACTTAAACCCTGGACATGACATAAGAACAGACCCAGTAGCAGAACAAAGAGCTGCCCTGGAGCGGCTGTCATTGGAAGGAGCAACAGGTGGAAAAACAGATATTGTAACTGACTCTGATAATGGCCAATCTTAAAATATTGAGTTGGAACGTGAATGGCTTGAATTGCAAAGCTAAACGTAACAGGATTCAGCATGTAATTTTAAAACAGAAGTTGGACATAATTTGTCTTCAAGAGACACATTGCAAAAAAATTTTAAAAGTTTTAATTAATACAAAATTAGGTTTGGACCTCATCAGCGGATAAAGCAAAAAAGGAGAGGAGTAATTTTTTTACATTAACCCTGCACTAGAACCCAAATTGATTCAAAAAGATGAAAAAGGGAGGATTTTAATAATACAAATAAAAATTCAGGGAGGGAAGGTGAATCTGGTAGGAATTTATGCACCCAATGAGAAAAAATCAGTCTTTTTAAAAAAATTAGAAACAGAATTACTTGAATTTACAGATCAAAAGATGATCTTAATGGGAGATTTAAATGGAGTTCCATCATTAGAAAAAGATAGATCAGCTAGGAAAAAAGAGACGAAAGAAGGCATATTACCAAAGACCATTTTTGATTTGGCTCAAATTTTGAATTTGATAGATATATGGAGAATAAGACATTTGCTTGACAAAGAGTTCACCTATTACGGTCATGTTCATGACAGCAGTTCAAGAATAGACTCTCTATGGATATCCAAATAGTTGGAACCTCAAGTTAAAAAAAATGAGATTAATCCCCGGACATTTTCAGATCATAATTCCTTGACAATGGAAATACAAAAAGGAAGCCAAATTTGATTTAGATGGAGATTGAATGGAGATTTACTAGATGATCAAAAAATTATGGAAAAAGCCAAAAAGGCCTTGAGTGATTATTTTGAAATAAACATTCAAGGACAGACAAAATTGCAGACGGTCTGGGACGCAAGTAAGGCGGTGATGAGAGGACTGTTTATACAACAAAATTCATTCAAAAAGAAATTGAAAGGAAAAAGGAAAAAAGAGATTTTAGTGGAAATTGAGAATAAGGAGAAACAATTGTCAAAGAAAGTAAATAAAGAGTCAGTCAAACAGGCAATTAGAATATTTGAAACTCAATATTCTATGATAGTCAATGATGAAATTAGCTGGAAAATAAAAAAATGAAACAAAAATATTTTGAGCAAGCCAATAAATCAGGAAAACTGCTAGTGTGGCAGCTGAAGAAATGTGAACAAAGGAACTCCATAAATAAAATTAACATAAATGGAAAGATCACAGATAATACGAAGGAAATAAGGGGAGCATTTGTAAAATATTTTTCAGATTTGTATAGGAAAGGGAAGGAGAAAATTTTTAAAATAGAGGAATATATTAAAAGTAGTAATTTACCAAAAATAAAAGAGGAACAAATGACTATCTTAAATACTCAAATAACAGTTCAAGAAGTGCTAGAGGCAATAAAGTGGACAAAAAATGGCAAGTCTCCTGGTCCAGATGGATTAACGGCAAAGTATTATAAAAAATTAAGTGAACAACTGGTAAACCCATTGAAAAATGTTATGAATGAGATTTTAAATACAGGTGAAATCCCAGAAACATGGAAAGAGGCTTATATCATAATAATTCTAAAACAAGACACAGATTTGCTGCAAATTAGGAATTATAGGCCTATCTCATTTTTTATTATTATTATTTTGGCCTATCACATTGTTAAACAATGATTATAAATTATTTGCAAACATTTTAGCTAACAGAATGAAAAAAATAAAATAAATGAGTATATACATCAAGATCAGGCAGGATTCCTTCCAGGTAGGCAAATGAAGAAGAATATAAGAAACATTTTGAATGTAATAGAGTACCTGGAGGTCAAAAATGAAAAGAAAGCAGCAATGATGTTTATAGATGCTGAAAAAGCCTTTGACAACATCTCTTGGAATTTCATGATATAATTACTTGAAGAAATTAATTGCGGATCTAAACTTTTAAAAGGAATACAAGCAATATATTCAGAACAAAAAGCTAAATTCATTGTAAACCAGGTGATAACAGATGATTGCAAGATGCAAAAAGGAACTAGACAGGCTGTCCATTATCAGCGCTTTTGTTCATTCTGGTCCTGGAAGTACTTGCCAAAAATATAAGAGCAGATAAAGAGATCACTGGGATAAAAACCAGGAAATGTGAGTTTAAATTGAAAGCATATGCTGATGATTTGGTGATTACAGGGGAAGTTCCAAAAAACTCACTCCCTAGAGTTATAGAAAAGATTCAAAAATTTGGGGAAGTGGCAGGATTTAAATTAAATAGGAATAAAACTAAGTTATTGGTTAAAAAATTGAAGGAAGAAGAAGAAAAAGAGTTGCAGCAAAGTATTGAGATAGAAGTCCATAAAAAGGTAAAATATTTAGGGATATGGCTAACAACAAGAAATATAAATATCTACAAAGACACTTGTGAAAAAGTATGGTTTGAGATAAAAAGGAATTTAGAAATATGGAGTAGAATGAACCTTTCCCTGCTAGGAAAAATAGCAGCGGTAAAAATGAATGTTTTGCCAAAAATGCTACTTCTTTTCCAGACAGTCCCAGTAATGGTGAAAGATGATTGCCTCAAAAGATGGCAGAAGTAAATTTCTAAGTTTATGGGGGGGGGCAGGAGGCCAAGGGTAAAGCATAAGATACTTACAGACACAAAAGAAAGAGGCAGTTTTCCCCTCCCAGACCTTAAATTGTATTATGAGGCTGCATGTTTGGTATGGATTAGTGACTGGATAAAACTGGAAAAGGAAGAAGCACTGGACTTAGAAGGTCACGATAATAGATTTGGATGGCATGCATACTTATGGTATGGGAAAGGAAAAGTAAAGGATTTTATAATCATATAATCAGGAAATCATTAATGAGGGTATGGGAGAGATATAAAAACTTAATAGAACAAAAGACACCTCGGTGGCTCTCACCAATTGAAGCTTGGTTGCTCAAGCCATTGGGCAAAAAAGGAAAGTGGCTCACATATAGTGATTTATTGAAAGACCAAGAAGGAAAGAGTATGAGGAAATAAAAGAACATTTTTCAGAGTTGGTTACATTACAGGCAATTACATGAGATATATAAAGAAGACCAAAAAACCCCGGATTTAGTTATACCACTTCTAAATTTCAAAAGGAAGTCATAGAAGAGAAAGTGAAGTTGCTGAAGGGTGCATATAGTATTCTGCTAGAATGGGAAACAAAAGATGAGGAGGTGAAATCGGTCATGATCAAATGGGCACGAGATATAGGACGTAATATACAATTTGAGGATTGGGAAAAATTGTGGAAAACAGATTTAAAATTTACAGATTGTTCTCTTTTGAAAGAAATTACATGAAAATGATGTATAGTTGGTATATAACACCAGTACAGATTGCAAGAATGTACAAAACTGGGTCAAACGTATGCTGGAAGTGTAAAGAAAAAGAAGGGACTTTTTACCATATGTGGTGGGAATGTAGAGAAATTAATTTTTTTGGGAAATGATATATAATGAGTTGAAGAAAATGTTTAAATTAACATTTGCAAAAAAAAAAAAAAAAAAAAAAAAAACCCACCACCAGAAGCATTTTTGTTAGGAAAATGGTAGGAAAAGACCGGCAAAGGAAAACAAAGAATTTATTTATGTATGCTACAACGGCGGCAAGAGTCTTGATAGCACAAGGATGGTAGAATGAGGAAACCCCGGCAAAAGAACAGTGGCAAGAGAAATTGATGAATTATGCAGAACTGACTGGCGAAACTGACATACAAATTGCGAGACAAGGACAACTGTGACTTCAAAGAAGGATGGGAACTTTTTACAAACTACTTAAAAAGACAACAAAATGAATTGGACTCCTTGGCAGGTTTTGAATAAACATACACAAATTTATTGATTGTTAACATAATAGACAAATAATGTTAGGATTTATATGCAAAGAATAACATGTATTGAGAAATCAGAGAGAGGAACTGAGGGAAGTCTCGGGGGGGAGGGCTCTTTGGTGAGGGGGAGGAGGGAGGGAAAAAGGGGGGGAAATAATGAAGATGATATGTTTTGATAATTTGTTATGTTGAAATTCTTAATAAAAATTGTTTTTTTAAAAAAAGAGACTGGTCACTGCCTTGGAGCCCTAACTCCCCTCCTTCCTTCCTGCTCCACAACACAGCCCTTCCAAACCCAAGTGCAGGTTCCAGCAATTCAGGTGCTCCCAAAGCCCCTTTCTCAGCCCCATATCCCGAGGACAGTGGCCCCTAATGCTGCCAGGAGAGGGCGGGCCCTTGGAAACCTGACCCATACTGATTTTAAGACAGGTTTGGTGTGCTCCTTACACCATCATTGGTTGGGTGGATTATCTTGAATGAAAAGCCATCATCCTTCCAATTGCATTTGCTGCCGGAGCAGCAAGGCCCTGACTCGCTGGTGATATTTATCGGGCCAAAGGATTGGCTCTTTATAACATCGCAGGATGAGCGCTGGCAGGTCCTGAGAATCATGGGCACGGAGCTGTATCCTGTTGTGGAAGAGAAGGGAGGACAAGAAAGTCACAACATGTTAGGTATGGGGGAACATTGGCCCACTTCTCCCAGCATGCATTGAGACGCCACAGGGAATCATGAAGAACTTGGAGCATGAGGGGCAACCCACACTTAGGGGTGAAAAAGCGGCCTGTTTTGCCTTAGAGCGGCGATTTGGAGGTAAAAGGTTTGTGTGTGTAAGTTTCTTTAATTATTCAGGGGGGCAAATTCTGACATTGCAAGTGGTTGGACTACATGATCCTTGGTGTCCCTTCCAACTCAACAATTTTATGTTCTATGATTCTATAATGTTTGGCTTCAAGAAGTATTTTAATTATTTATTTTAGCTGTGTAATATATTTTATTCTGTTTTTTTATATGCTTTATGTCTTTTATCATGTGCAATGGCTTTGGCCATACACATAAATTATATTCATATTGGTACATGTAAAGCAATACACTTGTGTCAAGGGGCCCCAGTCACCTTTGAACCTGGTCAGATGCATTTATTTCATTTAGAAACAGCTTGTCACGTCCCATTTTTCAGTGTGCCCAAATTCCCAAACAGCTTGCTACTGATATTATTATTATTATTATTATTATTATTATTATTATTATTAGATGGCATTATTAAGATGTCACATAACCAAAAGGCCCCCTGCAATCAACCAATCACCCTAAAGAGGGAATAAATCAGCAGACAATTGCTAAAATAGGGAGAGAGTCACAGTGAAGCTGTAAAACAGGCTTCACCAACTTGGGCTGTCCATACGTCATGGACTCCAATTCCCATCAGCCCCAGCCAACATCTAGAGGGCACCAGGGCTGGCAAAGGCTGCTGTAAAGAAAGGAATCTTCAAGCAAGAGGTGGGCAGCAGGGTTTGAAATTAGCCAGGTGCCAAGCACATTTTGCACCTGCTATTGCCACCTGCGACCAATTGCCGGGATGACACCTAACATCTCCAACATCTGGAGGTACCTGCCTGGAGATCCCTGGATCTTGACTGTTTTCACGCACTAATACCACATCCTGTAGAATTCTGTCTGTTATATTTTGATCTGCACCATCAGAATGAATTTCAGGAACCAAGATGCTTTTTCAGTGCAGCCTGAGCAGGAGCAGTGAACAACATTATAGCTAATTGTTGACACTTGTCTTCATTTCCCCCACCCCACTGCCCTGCTCACAGTTGTGAAGAATATTCTTACGTTGTGTATAACGTAATATATATGTGGCCTTTCCCTGGATCAAGAGACTTTTCTTCCCTGAGAACTTAAAGTTCTTAACCTAGATGAAGATGGTCATCTGAACTAGCCAGATGTTTAACCAAGAATCAATCACACTCAGTCCATCATTTGGAAAACAAGACTTTAGAGCTGTCTTTAGAGCTGGCATATAGACATTCTGTTTTGGCAACTGTAACCTTGCTTTAAGAAGCCATTTGGCACCTAGATTATATATCTGAGTTTCTAACACTGGTGGGCAGATGAAATCGTTTGGACCTTGTTCCATAGCCAAGTCACTATCTTCACCAACAAACCTTGAATTAAATCACAAACACACCCTTTAAATAATGTATTTAGAAGGGAAGCAGGGCACAATATGGTCAAATTAGAGGAGGTCAGAAGTGGAGCAATTTAAGGCTGTGGAAGAAATTCCCTAGGGCGAACTCACCTCCTCCATCTAGTGCAATAGTAATGTTCATGCTGCCTTGGTAACACCGGTCGTAGTCTTTGCTGCATTCCATAGTCTCCTTGATGTTTCCACTGGCGCCCCAACCAAAGCCCGAGTAACACTGGTTGGAGCCAGTGCCTGGAGTAAGAAAACAAAATTAAGAGCAAGGGGTCTGTAGTGGGTCTGGATCAAAAAAGGTCACTTCCCTTTGTAGGAGTCTCTCCCTTTTTTCTGTCTCTTAAATAATGATAGGGGGGAATATTTTGATTTACTTTGTATATCAAAGTGAAGCTACTTAAATTGCCCTTGTCAAAGCAATGGGTATCTTAATCATACTCAGGGTAAACCCACCAAAATGAATCAGCATGTGTTTATGTGGATGCATTAAGCGAGGTATTACCCTTCAAAATTCACACTTTCCTGAATTTTGTGAGGCAGTTCTCCAAGTTATAGGTATGTGCGATTTTTGCACATATTAGGAGCTGATGGCCCTGCTTTCTCTACTTGCCAAACCCGCCATACCCTTTGTCAAACCCCACACCTGAACAAGTCCTTTACCCCCCACTCACCCCTTGCCTATCCCCCCCCCAGCTCACACAACCTCTGCAGTGCACCCCATATTCCCACTCCCCTCACGGCTCCCTCCAAATCTTTCCTCATGCTCTTGCCGCTAAATTACACCCTAAAGCACAGTCTTTTCTCATTTCTTGAGAAGCGGGGTTACCTTTTCTATAGCACGTGAGCCCAAGAGTTGGGGAACAGGGCCGCTTGCCTTAGAAATCTTCAAAATTGAATTCTTCAAGCCTCCCTATTGACAACCACCTACCCAACAAGTGAAACTGTGAGTTCTCACTTTCCTCTCAGGTGGCACTCAACCCCCCCCCCCCAAAAAAAAATTTACCTCCGTCCTCAATAGGTGTGTTGGGAACTTCCCTCGTTTTCGCATTGCAAAGGTCACCAAAACAGTAGCTCTGGTTGAACTGGATGGCAAAGTGTCGGTCACCAGAGTTGATTGGTTTTGTTCCATCCACAAGGTCCTTGCTGGCACAGCCTTTGTGACTCATTATCAAAACTTCTTTATCTAAAATGAGGGGGGTGGGAAGAGATGTGTATATACAAACAATAGAACGATGCAGTGGCAGGGTGTTCCAAAGACCTTACCTTGACAATTTTTCCTCTGGGGGTCATTTATACACAATTTGGCAGGGTTAGGGTTGCCTTATTTCAAAAACTTAAAAGCCAGACACAAAAGGTTTTTGTTTGTTTCTAGGTTTTTGGCCAAAGTTGTTGATGCCTGAACATTTCAGCAATTTCGGCCCAAACACTGTTTCCGATGGCCGAATCCTGGGAATGTCTGGAAAATTCTGGACATATGGCAACTCTTTCCAGGGGGAGGGGGCTGCTAAAGCCTCCTGATTCCCCCCCCCCTCTGGTTCATGTCTACCTTAGTGCCATGGGTGGGGGTGATTTTGTTCATGTGAGTGATCCTAGAAAGTGCTGACAGTTTTTCCCACTTCTTCCTGTTTCTTCGTCGCACATTTCCTGGCAGCTTCTTTTACTTTAAAAGCCTTATATAGCTGGGTTCCCATAGGATGGTAGCCTGCATTCTAGCCATGCAAAATCCAGAGCTTTTCTACACCCTCATATCTCCAAATCCTCCACTGAGGCAAGTAAGATGCATATTGTATTTTTAGCATGCAGTCCAGCCTGGCAAAAAATCACAAGGAAGGACCGGAGCCAGAATGGCATTTGCCCAGTCGTGGAAAGAAGATGCTGTACCAACTTAGGAAGAGTGGCTGCCACTAAGTTCATTAGTAGGTTTAACTTAAATCAGCAGTTAAAAATATTACTAAGATAAATGGAAGAATAACTTTAAAATGGAGTAAAGTGGAACACACAGTGTTAAAGCTAAAGTAGAAAAGGAACCACAAAAGGGGGTGGGGGAAATAAAATATGTATTTGGAAGGTGTGTATTTGTAATCTTGTAAAAACTGAAAATAAAGTTTATATATAAAAAAAGAACACAATGAAAGTCTACACCTGCCTCCCTTGTCCTTTTCTTTCATTTGTGCCACAAGGAGATAAAAGGTTTCTGCTTTCATATCTGAAATAGCCATAGTTCTCTGCAATGTCAATACCCAGGGAACTGTGGTTTGTTCTAATAAACTAGGACAATGTATTCAACCAGTGTGCCCTGGCACCCTGACGTGCCTTAAATGTTGGTCAGGGATGCCGCGGGCAACACTGGAATCTGTCCGTCTTTCTTTCCTCCCCTCTCTCCTCTGATGCCCTCTTGTGTCTCTGCCTCCCAAAGGTTTGCACATCTGTTTGTTGCAACAGCTCTCGCTAAAAGCTCCCCCGGTGAATGGCGCCATTGTTGGGCTGGCCAGAGGGTGCTAGTTGCCAGGAGCTGAGGTGGCCTCAGAGTAAGTAAGCAAGCAAGTGGGTGGGGTAGCCCAGCTGGCCAGTCCACCAGCCCTTGCTGTTGGGAATGGACAGACTAGTGGGAGGCCAGACAGCCAGGCGCCACACTGGCCTTTCTTGTGCTTGCTGTGTGCAAAGCTTGCCTGGGAGCTGAGTGCCCATTGCTGTCACTGCCACCTCCCAAGGTAAGGTGCTGGCCTATGTTCAACTTTGGCCAGTCTCTGTTGGGCCACTAAGGCTGGGGATATCCCCTTCGCAGGCCCCTGTGGGGAGTGTGAGGAGGAACCTCTCTTTGGAGCGAGAGGGAGCAACTCAGAGACCAGTGGCTACCAGGAGGACTCCCAAGGAGAGGGGAGAGGGGAGGAGGCTGAGGGAATACTCCACATGGAGGGTGTTCACTAAAAGGGTGAGAAACTGCTACCTCTGCAGACAAAGGATGGCATAACTGGCTCCTGAGCCCCACAGTTAATTGGCTCAGCACAGGCAAGTTGCAGAAAAAAAATGTACAGTGGTGCCTCTAGATACAAACTTAATTCGTTCTGGAGGTCCGTTCTTAACCTGAAACTGTTCTTAACTAAAGGTGTGCTTTTGCTCATGGGGCCTCTTGATGCTGCTGCGCCGTGGGCACATGATTTCCGTTCTCATCCTGGGGCAAAGTTCTCAACTCGAGGTAACTCTTCCAGGGTAGTGGAGTTTGTAACCTGGAGCGTTTGTAACCGGAGGCGTTTGTAACTCGAGGTACCACTGTACTTGTTCAACAGGGAGCCGTGGACTCAAAAAGGTTTAAAACCTATGAACTAGGATATCAAACTGAACGAACAAGACAAGATTTATAAACTGTCAGAAGGTTGCTCTTGTAACACTATACTGGTGGCAGGAATCTATGCCCCTCCAGATTTCATAGAATTGTAGATATGGATGGGACCACAAGTGTCATCTAGTCCAATGCCAGATGTTGGATTCTACTCACATCAGCCCCAGCCAGCGTGACCAATGTTTAGGGGTGGTAGGAGTTGAGATCCAACCAAATCTGGAGGGGCCAGAGGTCCCCTGTCTCTGCACTAACCTCTGGCTTAGTGTTACATCTGAACTGGGTCTGTGTCAACTCTCAGAAACAGCTAGGTATTCTTTTTATTAAAAAAATTAAAAATGGAGGGCAGGGGTTTGGAAAAAAAAATGCAAATATAAAATAAAATGAATCAAAACATATTTTAAATACCTCACTTCTGAATGCATGCAAAACATCATTTCAGGCCCCAGGTAATCCCACTGGGAATTTTATGGGTTGTAAGCAATTTCATGCTTTTCCTCTCTCAAAAATCTAGCAGCCACACAGGATCCATCTGACAAAGCAGCACTTACCAATAGAGAATATAAGTTGTGCATCTGTGCAAACGTTCTGAGCACTGGAGCAGTTGGTAATACCGCTTACCGGGGAGGCATTTGATGTTTTGTTGCCATTGTTTGGAGTCATAAGATGGACGGTGTTGGAGCTATGACACTTCAAGGCAGAAATTCCTGAAAAGAAATGTGGGGAGAAAGGTTAGGAGATCCTGGTGAAATTATTAGCAATGTCTTTCTGCCTTGAAATCATCAGGGACTAGAAATTGGTTTCCCCCTTTTGAAGTGAAAACAGAAATTCTTAGGAGGCAGAAATTTGTGTCAAATGTCTGTTCTGAACCGCTGGCCCAAAGGAGGGACCTCATGAGTGGTTTGATGCATAGATACCAAAGAAGGATGTCAAAAATGCTATAATGGGCAGCCCTAGGGCTTTATTAAATCATAGAGGTGGATGGCACAACGAGGGGCATCTAGTCCAATGCCAATTGTTGGATTTCAACTCACACCAACACCAGTCAGATGTAAACTTACAAAACAGAACAATGACAACCAAATCATAGTCATTACCCGCCCCCCAGGCAGCCTATTCCTCTTTTAAAGCCATCCAGGTGGGTGGCCATCCCTGTCTCCTGTGGGAGGGAGTTCCATAGTTTAACTTTGCACTGTGTGAAGAAGATCTTTCTTTTAGCTGCCCTGAATCTGCCAACTTTCAGTCCACAATATCTATTGCTTTGAGAGGGAGAGAGAAATGTTTCTCTAACCACTTTCTTCACGCCACGCATAATTATTGAGCATCTATCATGTGAACTCTTTCTCCTGTTTTCTCTAAACTAAAACATCCCTAATGCTGCAAACTTTCCTCATAGACAAGTCATTCCTTTCTGAAACATTTCCATTTACCTTGGAATTCCTTCTTGTTTCTCTGTGCAAATCTAGTTGGCTCCCACCCAACCACCCAGGTCTGCAACTAGAGGACATCCCAATAGCAATAACTGGTACCTGAAATAAGAAAGGTCATCGCCAGGAGTCCTTGCAGCACAACTGTTGCAGCTCTCCATCTCAACGCGACACCCTCCATGGTCTGAAGCCGAGAAGCCCTCTGAGCCAAAGAACCAGTTTCCTGATGAGTCGTGGAGGAAAAGGAAAAGCAGTCCAAGATCAGAGAGAGTTGGGCTGTTTGGTTATATATATATATATATATATATATATATAGCACAAATGTGCTCAGTAGAGATTGGCTGGAGGGACTTCCTGAAAGACAAGAGCAGTTCTGGTGATGGCAGGATTACGCAAAGAAGAAGGAAGCCTATACAAACAGTAAACAGCAACAGATGTGGATTCTGGCAATAAGGTAAAGGTAAACGGTTAAGTCCAGTGAAAGGTGACTATGGGGTGGGGCACTATTTGAGGTATGGGAGAGAATGAAAGAGAGAATTATAGAAAGAACACCATGGTGGACCTCTCAAAAAGAGGCAACCTTGACATATATATATATATATATATATATATATATATATATATATATATGAATTGCCTGGCCAATTTATAGAGATTTAGTAGAAGGAATGAATAAAAATATCAGATTAAAAGAATATGAAGAACTCAAAATATTGGGAATAAATTGGTTAGAATATTTCCAATTTAAGGCTACATATGAGAAAGATATAAAAACTAGGGGATTTGGGAATAAAATATCAACATTAGAAAGAGGTTTTACAAAATAATCAAAAAACACTCTAAAATGTATAGATTATTAGATAAAGTCCTCCCAGATCAAGAAGTCAAAGGAGAGAATATGCTAAAGTGGGAACAGGATTTAGGATATACAATTGATTCTGAAGATTGGAAAAAGTTTTTTGGGGGGAAATATAAATTTCACGGCCTGCTATTCATTAAGAGAGAATGAAGATGCATCACAGATGGTATATGGCACCAGACAGACTGGCAAATATGAATAGATCGAATAGTAATAAATGCTGGAGATGTAATAGAATGAAAGGCACTCTATACCATATGTGGTGGACATGTCCAGAGATCAAATTTTTTTGGGAGATGATCCATGAAGAGATTAAAAAATTGATAAAAGTATCATATATCAAAAGGGCAGAAGCATATTTACTTGGAATCTTGAGTAAGGATATCCCCAAAGACAAAATTAACATCTCTGTGTGCAACAACAGCAGCAAGAACGTTGGTAGCCAGCCATTGGAAAGGAAATTATATCCCAACAAAAGGGGAATGGTTAAGTAAACTATGTGAGTACCTGGAGTTAGGCAAAATTGAAGGATTTAATAAGGCATAAATCCAAAAATTTAATTCAGAAACAATGGGAATGCTTAAATGAATATTTATATAAGCAGGGCTCAAATATGAAAGTTTGGTTGTGCTTAGACTAACCTAATTAGACTAAGAATATAGAGAACATAAAGAATTGACCGATTATGAAAGAACCTAAGGAAGGGAAATGATTGAAGAACAGTTGTAAAAGTGAGCTAGATAACTAAGAGACGTGAGGTGAATGCGGTGGAAATCTTTTATAATATTTGAAATAGGATTTATATATTGTAATGTTTGAAGCATGAAATTGGTAATATTATTGGTTGTGAAAAGTATTTTTTTCCTTTTCTTTTGTCTTTTGTCTTTTTTTTTTAGTTTGCATTTTGGAAAACATGTATACAGTGGTGCCCCGCAAGACGAATGCCTCGCAAGACGGAAAACTCGCTAGACGAAAGAGTTTTCTGTTTTGGAGGTGCTTCGCAAAACGAATCTGCTATGGGCTTGCTTCGCAAGACGAAAATGTCTTGCGAGTTCCTGCGTTTTTTTTTCCCTTTCCCCCCTCTTTTTCTAAGCCACTAAGCCGCTTATCTGCTTATCCGATAAGCTGATAAGCTGCTAAAAGCCACTAAAAGCCGCTAAAAGCCGCTAATAGCGCTAATCCGCTAATCCGTCAATGGGCTTGCTTCGCAAGACGAAAAAACCGCTAGACGAAGAGACTCCCAGAACGGATTCTTTTCGTCTTGCGAGGCACCACTGTATAAATGTGTTTACAGTGTTATGTATTGTTCTTTGTTTCTCTTTCTTTTTCCTTTTCTTTTCTTGTAAGATTCAATAAAAATAAAATAAAAAATAAAAAAGGTAAATGACCCCTGGACGGTTAAGTCCAGTCGAAGGTGACTATGGGGTGCAGCGCTCATCTCACTTTCAGGCTGAGGGAGTTTGTCCACAGACAGCTTTCCTGGTCATGTGGCCAAGATGACTCAACCACTTCGGGCACAACAGGACATTGTGACGGAAGCCTGAGCGCATGCAAATGGCGTTTACCTCCCCACCCCAGCAGTGCCTATTTATCTACTTACACTGACGTGCTTTCAAACTGCTAGGTTCAATATTGCAGATTCTGGCAACATGAAGCCCCAAGCTAGTACAAAATTTGGCACCTCCTAGCAATGGCAAACCAGCTGTGCTGGTACAAAGCGAGACAGGCCGTTTCTTGCTCTCCCCACCCTCTTTTCCCATCCTATCTTCCTCTCCTCTTTCCCAGCCTGATGGTCCCTCCCTGGCAAAAAGAAATTAAAAATCACAAAGACAGTTATAGCCCTTAAGATATTTGAAGATGGCTCCTCTCAATATATATATATAAATAAACAAATTGTCCAGTAGCACCTTAGAGACCAACTAAGTTTGTTCTTGGTTCTTGGCATGCACGCGGAAGCTTATGCCAAGAACAAACTTAGTTGGTCTCTAAGATGCTACTGGACAATTTATTATTAATTTTTAAATATATTTTGACTTTGTCTCCTCTTTTCCAGGCTAAACATACCCAGCTCCTTCAACTATTCCTCATAAGGCTTGTTTTCTAGAACCTCCCTCCCAACTTTATGATTCTATGATTCTGTGTATTACTTATTTATTGTATATTATTTATTTGTTGCATTTATTTACTGCATTTTTCTCCAAGGAGCAGAAGGTGGCATACAGGGTTCCCCCTCCCCCATTTAATCCACACAACAGCCCTGTGAGGTAGGTTGGACTGAGAGGCAGGGCCAAGGCCACCCAGTGAGTTTCATGGCTGAGTTGGGGGTTTGAACCCAAGTCTCCCAGGTTCGAGTCCTCCTCTCTAACCACTACACCACACTGCTTCTACTCGAAGCCATTGGAAGTGGGATTGGGAGCATCAATAATGCCAGCTACATTAGAAAAGGCTGCACAGACTGTAGACCGGCAGATACAGTGGTGGTCTGGATGAGTGCCAATAAATTGAGACTGTCAAGACAGAGGCCCTATGGGTAGGTGGTTCTAAAATTTGAGAATATAGGAGCCTGCTCTGGAGAAGGTTGCCCTCCCCATGATGAAACAGGTGTGCAGTCTGGCAATGTTCCTGGAACCAAAGGCAAATGGAAAATTTCCAAGAAATCTTTAAAAGTTTCCTGTTTCTCTGGCGTTCCCTTAAGGCATGGCACCGTTCATACAGCTCTCAGATGTGAGCAAAGTTTGAGTGGGTTTCTGAACCCAGCTTGCTTCACTTCATTTCTTCAAAACAATCAACCCAGGAACTTGCCCAACAGCCTGATGTTTCAAAAGCAAGACTGCAGCCCCCAAGGCATATTTCAACACCCCCTTCCCATCTTACATGGTGTCAAATTTCTGTGCATTGATCGGGGAATGTAAATCCTTCTTCTTATTCCCAGCAGCATTTGCTCAAAACTGTCTTTTCCTGTCACCTCACACCCGGTTCCCCTGGCAACCTTCCAAACCCCCAGTCTCCATTCACACGTCAGGGCAGGGGGGAAGGGCGGTTCTCTTGCATTGCCACTGGCCCTCTAGAGCCCCCTATTGTTCCTTAATGGCCCTAGCTTGGCCAGGTCATTTTGCATAGGCTAGTCCTGGAATTCCTCTACAGCTTCTATTCTTCCTTCATATCCCAAATAATCAACATCCTAGCATTTATTAATTTCTATGGTTTAGGAGTCCCCCAAAATCTATAACAATATTATTATATTGAATATGTAGTTTCTGGGTTGTCTCCAATGCCATTCCTATAGAGCACGGGTGTCAAACACAAGGCCTGCAGGCCGGATCCGGCCCGCCAGACCTCGTCATGTGGCCCATGTAGCCGCCACCGGCCGCCAGCCTTCACCTTTTATTCTCGCTTTTTTTTTTCTTTTTTTTTTTGGACACAAGAAAGTTTACATGGTGCGGCTCCCTACTCGCCTCCCCCCGTCGCTCTTAAGGACGTGGCTGCTGCTTCAAATGTCCCCGCATCTCTCAACTTGCGCCTTCGTCGTCGGGGGCCGAAGCGAGGCAGGCAGCTGGCTTCTCTCTCCCGCTCACTGCTCAAAAAGAGCAAGCGGAAGGTCAGGTCTCTCAGCACCGCAGAGGGGGAGTATTTCTCCTCAGAGAAACTTTTTTATTCCAGCCTTGGATCTTCTCCGGGGATGCTGGATCCTCCCCGCCCGCCCCCCAAACTCCCCTTTTCTTCCAATCCTCAGCCACCTTGGAATCCCTCTTGGTGGGAGAGAAGCGTTTTTGGCTTCTGCGGAAAGTTTCCCTTGCTGCCGCCGCCACCAGCAGCAGCAGCGGCAGCCCCGTCTGTCTGAAACGGCCGCTGTTTGGTTTAATAACACGATTTTGTTATGTCTGCTCAGCTCCGGCCAAGCGGCTCCTTCTCTGCGAGCGGATCCATGTGCGTCCACGTTACATCGGGGGTTCCCACGGCCGCGCTTCCCGTGTCTCCTCCTCCGCCCTCCACCGAGGCGCGTCCCCTTGCAACATCTGAAATTATTTTCTCAGAAACGCCAACTTTGGGGCTCTTCTTTTCTTCTCTCCCTCTCTGCCCCCCCTCTGCTGCTCTCACGCTCTCCCCCCTTGCCGATCCCAGGATCTGATTAGATTTCCAATCACAACCCAGTGCGCAATCGAATTTCTGATTTCAGCCAGGAGCAAGCCAGCAATCCGGAGCACCCGCGTCTTCTCCTCACCAAACTCTCCGCGTTATTATATCCGTTCGCCTTGCCTCCAACTCCTCTGCATTCCCCCCTCCCAGAATCGCACATCAAATGCAAAGAGATGCTGATGGTGGCGGCGGCAGCGGCGAGCTTGGTGGCGGGAGGAGGAGAAAGCAGGAAGAGAGAGAAAATAAAATTCCCACCAGATGTTAAGAATCCATCATCATCATTTATTTATTTTTAAAGGAGAGTCCGCTCCCAGGGTGGGTGGCTTCGAAAGCCCCTCTCTCCTCGCACGTCCTGCTATTGCTTCCTGATCCTTCCCGGCATGCAAACTCGCCCTGCGGGAGGCGTCCTCTTCTCCTCCGCGCTGGATTTCACCAGCCCTGGGCTTCCCTTCCTCTTCACTTCACCTCCCTCTCCATCTTTGCACAGCCAGCCTTTCCAGGACCGACGATGCCCGTGATCAAGTTGTTCTTTGGGAATATGGGGTGGCTGGTGGGGGGGGTGAGTGGGAGAGAGAGAGAGGCGCGCGCACACACTCCAAACACCCTTAAAATAAATGTAAAGTGGACCGTCCACATTATTACAAAAAACAGTAATAATTGAATGTAGTGACAATAATTTATGATAATAAAGAGTGGACACATAGTCCTACAGATACAACCGGCCCTTTGAGGGTGACCAAACTGCTGATGCGGCCCCCAATGAATTTGAGTTTGACACCCCTGCTATAGAGAGTAGTCCCATTGAAGTTAATGGGCATGGCTAACTTGGGTGCATTGATTTCAGTGGGTCTGTTCTGAGTAGCACTTAGTTGAGTATAGCTAGGGTTGTCATACGTCCGTCAGCAGTTGGCAGCCATGTCCTGGCAGAAATCGGAAACAAGTTTGGGAAAATCCGCATATATGGCAGCCCATGTCGGCAGTGCTGTTTTTGCCAATCATCCATAAGAATAGCTCAACAAGTTTAACAACTTTGGCCAAAATCAAAGCACAACAACTTTTCTCTCTGGATTTTCACTGTTTGAAATATGGCAACCCTAGCTATAGCCATTAATATTTTGCCATCGCAGTCGAAATCCTGGGAATCAAAGAAATTGCTTGGTTTTGCAAGGGAGAATCAGACCCCAAGGCGGTGGTTATCCAAAATAAAATTTTATTTTATAGATTTGAGCCATACATCCAATAGGTTGGGACAGGTCACTGCCTTGGAGCCCTAACTCCCTCCCTCCCTCCCTTCCTCCCTCCCTTCCTTCCTTCCTTCCTTCCTTCCTTCCTTCCTCCCTTCCTCCCTCCCTCCCTCCCTCCCTCCCTCCCTCACAACACAGCCCTTCCAAACCCAAATTCAGTTTCCAGCAGTTTAGGCGCTCCCAAACCCCCTTCCTCACCCCCATATCCTGAGCATGGTGGTTCCCAGGACTGCCAGGAAAGGGCAAAGTTGAAGGCTGAGCCCTTGGAAACCTGACCCATAATGATCATAAGACAGGTATGGGTTGGTCATGCTCCTCACACCATTATTGACTATCTTGATTGCAAAGTCACTCTTCTCCCAATTGCAATTGCTGCCAGAGCAGCAAGGCCCTGACTCGCTGGTGATATTTATAGGGCCAAAGGATTGGCTCTTTATAACATCGCAGGATGAGCGCTGGCAGGTCCTGATGGTCATGGGGAAAGTGCTGGATCCTGTTGTGGGAAGGGAAGGAAGGACAAGAAAGACACAAAATGTTAGGTATGAGGGGCATTGGCCCTCTTCTCTCAGCATGCATTGAGATGCCACGGGGAATCATGAAGAACATGGAGCCTGAGGGGTAACCCACACCCATGAGTTCTTAGGGGGCAGGGCCCCCTACACCTCTGAAAAAGCAGCCCGTTTTGCCTGAGAGCACAATTTTGAGGTGAAAAGTTTGTGGGTGTAAGTTAAAGGGGGACAAATTCTGACATCGCAGGTGGCTGGACTAGATGATCCTTGGATTCCCTTCCAACACAACAATTCTATGTTCTATGATTCTATAATGTTTGGCTTTAAGAAGTATTTTAATTATTTATTTTAACTTTGCAAGATATTTTATTCTGTTTCTATTCTGCTATGTCGTTTACTTTTTGTAATGGCTTTGGCCATACACATGAATAATATTCATATTGGTACATGTAAAGGAATCTCCATCAAGGGGCCCCAGTCACATCTGAACCTAGTAAGGTGCATTTATTTCACTTAGAAACAGCTTGTCACATCCTATTTTTCAGTGTTCCCAAATTCTCAGAGCTGCTTGCTGCTGATTTATGATCATTATTATAATAAAAAGATGGTATTATTAAGACGCCACATCACCAAAAGGCCCCTGCAATCAACAGATCAACAGCAGAGAATTGCTAAATCAGCTTCACCAACTTCATGGACTCAAATTCCCATCAGTGACTGCCAAGTCCTAGAGGGCACCAGGGCTGGCAAAGAAAGGGGTTTTCAAGTAAGACATAGGCAGCAGTGTTTGAATTTAGCCAGGTGCCAAGTTCTGATACTGGAAGTGAGCTCAGCTTGAGGGGAGGGGGTGTTTTTTGGGGGGCAGGAGCTGTGGAAGAAATTCCTAGGCAAACTCACCTCTTCTATCTGAAATAGTAATGTTCATGCTGCCTTCGTAACACAGGTCGTAGTCTTTGCCACATTTCGTAGTCTCCTGCATGAATCTAGTGGAGCTCCACCCAAAGCCTGTGTAACACTGGTTGGACCCAGTTACTGCAGTAAGAAATCAAAATGAAGAGCATGAGGTTGGGGGGGGGGGCTGGATTGAAAAAGGTCACTCCCGTTTGTAGGAGTCTCCCCCTTTTCCTGTCTCTTAAATAATGATAGGGGGAGAATATTTCGGTTTGCTTTGCATATCAAAGTGAGCCTACTTAATTTGCCCTCTTCAAAGGATTGGTTATCTTAATCATACTCAGAGTAAACCCACCAAAATGAATTGGTATGTGTTTAGGTGGATGCGTAAAGCGAGGAGTTATACTTCAAAATCTGAATTTTCCAAGGCAATTTTCCAACTTAAAAATGGGTGCGAATCTTTGCACATAGTGGGGGTTGTTGCCCTTGCTTTCTCCACTTGCCAAACCAGCCACACCCTTTGCCAAACCCCACACCTGAACACGTCCCCTCCCTTTACCCCTCACTCACCCCTCCCCTACAGTGCACCTCATGTTTCCACTCCCCCCACAGCTCCCTCCAAACTTTTCTCTGTGCTCTCGCTGCTAAATTACACCCTAAAGCACATCCTAAAGCACACCATCTTGTACATTTCTTGAGAAGTGAGGTTACCTTTTCTTTGGCAAGTGAGCCCAAGAGTTGGGGAACAGGGCCGCTTGCCTTAGAAATCTCAAAAATTGAATTTTTCAAGCCTTCCTATTGACAACCACCCGCCCAACAAGTGAAACTGTGAGATCACACTTTCTTCTCAGGTGACCCTTAAAAATAAATAAAAAATACCTTTGTCCTTAATAGGGGTCTTGGGAACTTCTCTCGTTTTCGCATTGCAAAGGTCACCAAAACAGTAGCTCTGGTCAAATTGGATGGCAAAGTGACGGTCACCAGAGGTGACTGATTTTGTTCCATCCACAAGGTCCTTGCTGGCGCAGCCTTTGTAGCTAATTATCAAAACATCTTTATCTAAAACGGCGGGGGGGGGGGGAGAGATGTATAAATACAAACAATAGATTGATGCTGTGGCAGGGTGTTCCAAAGACCTTATCTTGGCAATTATTGCTCTGGGGGTGACTTATACATGTTTTGGCGGGGTTATTGTCATTGTTTACTTGTTTAGTCATGTATTTCAAAATCTGAAAGTCCAGACACAAAAGATTTTTGTTTGTTTCTTTGTTTGTTTTTGCCAAAGTTTTACCCAAAGTTGTTGATGCCCAGACATTTCAGTGATTTCTGTTTCCAATGGCTGAATTCCAGGAATGTCTGGGAAATTTTGGATGTATGGGCAACTCTATACAGTGTGGGGTGGCTGCCAAAGCCCCCTGGCCTTTTTTCCCCTCTGGTTTTTTCCCCTCTGGTTCATGTCTAACTTGGTGCCATGGGTGGGTGGATTTTTGTTCATGTGAGTGGCCCCAGAAAGTACTGAGAGTTCTTCCCACTTCCCACTTCTTCCTGTTTCCTTGTGACACACTTCCTGGCAGCTGTTTAACTTCAACAGCTAGGTTGGAAACCAGCCCAAGTCTGTGGCCAAGCATCTGTGGGCCACCTGCCTGTGACAGAAGAGGCGGAAGGAATCCTGGATGGAGCAGTGGGTGTGGCTCTTCCCTAGGACGCAGCCTGCATTCTAGCCATGCAAAATCCAGAGCTTTTCCACACCCTCCCATCTCCAAATCATCCACTGAGGCAAGTAAGATGCAGATCGTATTTCAAGCATGCAGTCCAGAATATCTGAAAGGTTCTGGCATGCAAATAGTTGAAACTATTTCAACATTAGTTGAAACCTTTCAACATTAGTTGAAACCTTTGAACTAGGATATCAAAAAGAAATAACAAGCCAAGATTTATAAACCTGTGGAAGGTTCCTCTTGTAACACTACATTGGTGGCAGGAATCTATGCCCCTCCAGATTTCATAGAATTGTAGATATGGATGGGACCACATGTGTCATCTAGTCCAATGCCAGATGTTGGATTCTACTCACATCAGCCCCAGCCAGCATGGCTAATAGTTAGGGGTGGTAGGAGTTGAGATCCAACAGAATTTGGAGGGGTGAGAGGTCCCCTGTCTCTGCACTAACCTATGGCTTAGTCTTACATCTGAACTGGGTCTGTGTCAACTCTCAGAAACAGCTAGAGATGCTTTTTATTAAAAAAGAAAGAAAGAAATGGAGGCCAGGGGCTTGTACAAAGATCTGCAAATATAAAATAAAATGAATCAAAACATATTTTAAATACTTCAATTCTGAATGCATTCAAAGTATCATTTCAGGCCTCAGGTAATCCTGCTGGGAAATTTAGGGGTTGTAAGTAATTTCATGCTTTTCCTCTCTCAAAAAATCTAGCAGCCACACAGGATCCATCTGACAGACCAGCACTTACCTATAGTTAATATAAGTTGTGCATCTGTGCAAACGTTCTCAGCACTGGAGCAGTTGATAATACCGCTTTCTGGGGAGATATGAGATGAGGAGTTGCCCTTGTGTGGAGTGGTAAGATTGACGGTGTTGGAACTATGACACTTCAAGGCAGAAATTCCTGAAAGGAAGTGTGGGAAGAAAGGGCATGAGATCCTGGAGAAACTATTAGCAATGTCTTTCTGCCTTGAAATCATCAGGGACTAGAAATTGCCCCCCCCCCCTTTTAACATGAAAGCAGAAGTTGTTTGGAGGCAGAAATTTGCACCAAGTGCCTGTTCTGAACCGCAGGCCCAAAGGAGGGGCCTGAGTGAGTGCTTTGATGAGTGGATACCACAGAAGGATTCAAAAATGTCAGAATGGCCAGTCCTAGAGATTTATTAAATCACAGGGTTGGATGAGACAAGTAGGGGCATCTAATCCAATGGCAGTTATTGGATTTCAACTCACACCAACACCAGTCAGATTTAACTTTCAAAACAGAACAATGACAACCAAATTATAGGCATTACACACACCCCAAAAGGCATTGTAGTTAACCTGAACTTATCCTAATATGGTATTTTTAAAAATGAAGAAGAATTTTTTAAAAACCAACAGCACAATTCAGATTCGAAAGCAAAGTATGAACCTAAAAAAGAAAGAAAGAAAAACAGGTGGAGGCAGGCAGCTCCATGGGAGAGTACTTCACAGTTCCTCGTCCCAATTATTTCTCCCTGGGTAAGTTTTCTCACAATTTTGAAAACACGACATTAGGCTGCTTAGCCATTGCCTCTCTTCTGAGTTCCAGCATATTGCAAGTCAAACCACATTCACTTTCTGGGAAAGCTTCTGGGTGACATGACTCTACCTTCTCCTTCCCTGACACAGCCCAAACCTTCTCCTTCTTGCAGACGGGGCTAAACTCACCTCAAAGACACACTCCTCTCCACCAGCAGTACCCAAAAGGTGACTTAAGCAAGTCATAGCACATTCACTTTCCGGGAAACCTCCTGTGTAGGATTGCAATATGTCCTCTTTTCCCAGGACATGTTCTCTTTTTTTCCTGGGCACATCCTCATTTTCAGGACTGAAATTTCTGCCTGGGAGGATTTTTAAAATTTGACTAAATGTCCTGGTTTTTGTTTGTTTGCTTGCTTGTTTACAAAAATCTAAGAAAAAAATCCTAGTGCATTAGACTCAGATCTAAGGCACCCGGCTAAGCTAGTCTGCAGCAGAGAATCACAACAGAGCAGCAGCTTAAACTAGCCAAATACTCTATCAAACCTTTCTCTGATCTAAAAGGATGCTGGCTCAGCTACAAGATCTGGAAGGAGTCTGGGAGGGCAAGAGTTAATATACCCCTGTCCTTAATAAGAGTCCTTATGTACATGTTAATTGCAGGAATCTTTCACCCAACATGGGGCTCAAACCCATGATCCTGTGATTAAGCCTCTCATGTTCTACCAGCTGAGCTATCCCGGCTCTTGAGAAGAGCCAGAGAAATCAACCTGAGAGGCAACCTATTCCTCTTTTAAAGCCATCCAGGTGGCTGTCTCCACCTGTGGGAGATCCCTGTCTCCTGTGGAAGAGAGTTCCATAGTTTAACTTTGCCCAGTGTGAAGAAGGTCTTTCTTTTATCTTTCCTGAATCTGCCAACGTTCAGTCTCAATGGGTGTCCACTATTTCTAGTGCTTTGAGAGGGAGAGAGACACATAATTCTGGAGTATCTATCATGTGAACTCTCTCATATTTTCTCTAAACTAAAACATCCCAAGTAATGCAAACTTTCATCACAGGACAGTCGCTCCATCCCCTTGCACAGTGTTGGTCGCCCCTTTCTGAACCTTTTCCATTTACCTTGGAATTCCTTCTTGTTTCTGTGTGCAATTCTAGTTGGCGCCCACCCAACCACCCAGGTCTGCACCTCGAGGACATTCCAATAGGAATAACTGGTACCTGAAATAAGAAAGGTCATCGCCAGCAGTCCTTGCAGCGCAACTGTTGCAGCTCTCCATCTCAACGCGACACCCTCCATGGTCTGAAGCCGAGAAGCCCTCTGAGCCAAAGAACCAGTTTCCTGATGAGTCGTGTAGGAAAAGGAAAAGCAGTCCAAGATCTGAGAGAGTTGGGCTGTTTGGTGTTATATATATATATATATATATATATATCACACACAAATGTGCTCGGTAGAGATTGGCGGGAGGGACTTCCTGAAAGACAACAGCAGTTCTGGTGATGGCAGGATTACGCAAAGAAGAAGGAAGCCTATGCAAACAGTAAGCAGCAACCGATGTGGATTCTAGCAATAAGGTAAAGGTAAACGACCCCTGGATGGTTAAATCCAGTCAAAGGTAACTATAAGGTGTGGCGTTCATCTCGCTTTCAGGCTGAGGGAGCCTATGCAAACAGTAAGCAGCAACCGATGTGGATTCTAGCAATAAGGTAAAGGTAAACGACCCCTGGATGGTTAAATCCAGTCAAAGGTAACCATAAGGTGTGGCGTTCATCTCGCTTTCAGGCTGAGGGAGCTGGCGATTGTCCACAGACAGCTTTCCTGGTCATGTGGCCAAGATGACTAAACCACTTCGGGTGCAACAGGACATCGTTACGGAAGCCTGAGCGCATGCAGACGGCGTTTACCTCCCCACTATAGCAGTGCCTATCTATCTACTTAAACTGACGTACTTTCAAACTGCTAGGTTAAATATTGCAGATTCTGGCAACAGGAAACCCCAAGCTAGTACAAAATTTGGCACCTCCTAGCAATGGCAAACCTGCTGCACTGGTACAAAGCGAGACAGGCCCTTTCTTGCTCTCCCCACCCTCTTTTCCCATCCAATCTTCCTCTCCTCTTTCCCAGCCTAATGTTCCCTCCCTGGCAAAAAGAAATTAAAAATCACCAAGACAGTTATATCCCTTAAGATATTTGAAGATGGCTCCTCTCAAAATATATATATAAAATAAACAAATTGTCCAGTAGCACCTTAGAGACCAACTAAGTTTGTTCTTGGTTCTTGGCATGCACATGAAAGCTTATGCCAAGAACAAACTTAATTGGTCTCTAAGGTGCTACTGGATAATTTTTTTAAAAATATATGTATTTCAACTGTGTCAAACCAACGCGGCTATCTACCTGAATCATGTCTCCTTTTTTCCAGGCTAAACATACGCAGCTCCTTCAACTATTCCTCATAAGGCTTGTTTTCTAGAACCTCCTGGTCCCTTCCAACTTTATGATTCTGTGTATTATTTATTTATTCCATATTATTTATTTGTTGCATTTATTTACTGTATTTTTCTCCAAGGAGCAGAAGGTGGCATACAGGGTTCCCCCTCCCCCATTTGATCCACCCAACAGCCCTGTGAGGTAGGTTGCACTGAGAGACAGTGATTGCACAAGGCCACCCAGTGAGTTTCATGGCTGAGTTGGGGGTTTAAACCCCAGTCTCCCAGGTCCGAGTCCTCCTCTCTAACCACTACACCACACTGCTTCTACTCGAAGCCATTGGAAGTGGGATTGGGAGCACTAATAACGCCAGCTACGTTAGAAAAGGCTGCACAGGCTGTAGACTGGCAGATACAGTGGTGGTCTGGATGAGTGCCAATAAATTGAGACTGGCAAGACAGAGGCCCTGTGGGTAGGTGGTTCTCAAATTTGAGAACGTAGGAGCCTCCTCTGGAGAAGGTTGCCCTCCCCATGATGGAAGAGGTGAGCAGTGTTCCTAGAACAAAATGCAAATGCAAAATTCCCAGAAATCTTTAGAGGCTTCCTGTTTCTCTGATTTTCCCTAAAGGCACAGCATCATTCGTACAGCTCTCAGATGTGAGCAAAGTTCCATTGGGCTTCCAAACCCAGCATGCTTCACTTCATTTCTTCAAAACAATCAACCCAAGAACTTGCCCAACAGGCTGATGTTGCAAAAGCAAGAGTGCAGTTCCCAAGGGATATTTCAACTCCCCCTTCCCATCTTGTTGTTGTTTAGTCGTTTAGTCGCGTCCGACTCTTTGTGACTCCATGGACCAGAGCACGCCAGGCACTCCTGTCTTCCACGGCCTCCCGCAGTTTGGTCAAACTCATGCTGGTAGCTTCGAGAATACTGTCCAACCATCTCGTCCTCTGTCGTCCCCTTCTCCTTGTGCCCTCCATCTTTCCCAACATCAGAGTCTTTTCCAGGGAGTCTTCTCTTCTCATGAGGTGGCCAAAGTATTGGAGCCTCAGCTTCACGATCTGTCCTTCCAATGAGCACTCAGGGCTGATTTCTTTAAGAATGGATACGTTTGATCTTCTTGCAGTCCATGGGACTCTCAAGAGTCTCAAGAGTTCCCATCTTACATGGGGTCAAATTTCTGTGCTGTGATCTGGCAATGTAATACAGTGGTACCTCGGGTTAAGAACTTAATTCGTTCTGGAGGTCTGTTCTTAACCTGAAACTGTTCTTAACCTGAAGCACCACTTCAGCTAATGGGACCTCCTGCTGCCACCGCACCCCCGGAGCATGATTTCTGTTCTCATCCTGAAGCAAAGTTCTTAGCCCAAGGTACTATTTCTGGGTGAGCAGAGTCTGTTACTTGAAGCATATGTAACCTGAAGCATATGTAACCCGAGGTACCACTGTAAAATAATAGATACCTCTAAATATGATACAAAGTGTTATCCTTTAGTGGCTATAGCACAGAGGGAGGCCTTGGAAAATCAATTTTCCCAGGGGCACCCCATGTTCTTAAAACAGAAACCCAGCCATAGGCAGTATAAAAGCCATAAGTGCCTTGCCTCCTGTATCTATGGAAATACCATTTCTAGGAGAAATCATAAGAACACAGGAAGCTGCCTTATCCTGAGTCAGAGTGTTGGTCTATCTAGCTCAGTAGAGGCAACAGTGACTGGCAGTGGATCTCCAGATTTTCAGGCAGGACTCTTCCCTAGTCCCACTGGAGGGGTCCTTGGGTACAGTTTGGCCCCACACACCTGCAAAATTGGGAGCTGCCTTGATAACTTTATCGTAGAGTGGCCATTCTACAAAAAAGAAGAAGAAAGAATTCTTGGGAAATGGTTTGTTTGCTATGCATTTAGATACCTCTTAAGACACCATAGCCAAATTGGATGGTGAACAGAACCTTTCAAAACTGCACTGATTTTAACCAGTGATTTCCCGGGGTTCCTGATCAATGCCAGGTGCAAGCCTGCAATAAGAAATGAAGTTTAAGGGGCCATAAGGGGGCATTCATGCCATATATTTAAAGCACTAGCATAACACTGTAAACAGTCTTGGGTTCCCCCTGAAAATCCTGGGAGCTGTAGTTTGCTAAGGATACTGAGTGTTATTGGGAGACACCCTATTCCCATTACAGAGCTACAGTTTTCCAGAGTGGTTTAACAATAAATCCCTCTTTCCAGGGGGGTATAAGAACAGCAACCCTGTGAGGGTTAAGAAACTACAACAACCAGGATTCTTTGGAAGAGAAGCCAGGACTATTTAAAAGTGCTTTGAACACTGCTTTAAATATGCAGTGCAGATAGGTAAAGATAAAGGACCCCTGGTCGATTAAGTCCAGTCAAAGGTGACTATGGGCCGCAGCGCTCATCTCGCTTTCAGGTCGAGGGAGTTGGCATTTGTCTGCAGATAGTTTTCTGGGTCATGTGGCCAGCATGACTAAACCACTTCTGGCACAATAGGACACTGTGTCGGAAACCAGAGCACATGGAAATGCTGCTTACCTTTCCACTGCAGTGGTATCTATTTATCTACTTGCACTGGCATGCTTTCCAACTGCTAGGTTGGCAGAAGCTGGGTCACAGCAATGGGAGCTCACTGCATCTCAGGGATTCGAACCACCGACCTTCTGATCAGCAAGCCCAAGAGGCTCAGTGGTTTAGATTACGGTGCCACCCGCTCCCCTAGTGCAGATAGGACCTGTGAGTGTGCATAGGCAATGCATTTTGACTGATCCAGCTGGACTACAGGGCTACAATGTCCCAGAGTGGTTTAACAATCAGTCCCTCTTCCCTGGGAACTCTGGGAACTGTAGCTCTTTGAGGAATAGTGATCTCCTAACAACTCTCAGCACTCTTAACAGACTTCACTGCCCAGGTTTTTTGGGGGATGGCATAACTTTTTAAAGTGGTATCATAATGCTTTAAAGGTTCATGTGGATGTGGACAGGAGGGACACACACACACACACACACACACACACACACACACACAGGTCACACATACACTACACATTTTAAACACACTAATACTCCTTTAACATCCATGGATTCCGCCCCCCAAGAAAAAATAAATACTGAGAACTTCATTTTGTTATGGGTGCTGAGAATTGTTAAGGGACCCCTCACAGAGCTACAATTCCCAGCACCCTCAACAAAATACGGTTCCCACAATTCTTCGCAGGAAGCCGCAACTGTTATAGTACTATAAATGTATATCATGGATGAGAGCAGAATCTGTTCTGTGTAGGGTCAATTGCTTTGTGGATGAGGGACCTGGGAACTTGGCAAGGTTGTTGAACTACAGATCCCATTATCCCTGACGGCTGGCCAGGCTAGCAGGGGCTGATGGATGTTGGAGTCGAACAATCTCCAGAGTTCCCCAGCCCTGCATTTAAAATGGCTGACACACGAGCTCTTACTTTAAATAATAAAAAATAGTTTATTAAGATAAATAATGTTCAAATGCACACATATATAAGGATAATAAAATAAAGGGCAGTGACCACATCCTGTGGTTAACAAACTTCAGGAAGTCCAAACCAGAGTTGCGTCTAGATGGTGCCTTGCACAATTTACCATGTCTGATGGAACTTCTGGTTTTCTGAACAGTCTTATGTTGGAGGAGCGATTCCCAAATGCACCTTCCAGATCTTAAATAGCCAATGGGACAAATCCTTGTTTCTTGAAAGAGTCCAACAGTCCTCCACAGCAGTGCAAAAAGAATAAATAATAAGGTGGGACGTTTCTGTTTTGCATATATCTGTTTTCATAAATGAAAAAAAGTAATGGCCACCAGGATTTCTCCAGTCAGGAGAGGTGTCCAGCTCCTCTGCCTTAATTTGCAACACAGAGAGCAGAGAAGAGAACCCAGGAGTCCTGAGTCTCGCTCTTCCCCAGCCGCTAGTCTCCACTCCACTCCTTTCTCAACAAATAACTTACTGCCTGATCCAGTACTCAGAAGCAAGTCTTCCTTTGTTCAGTGGGACTTATTACCCAGACATCAGAATGTAAGAAGATGGCCCCATTGAGGCCAGCATCCTGTTCTCACAGTGGCCAACCAGAGGCCTGTGGGAAACCCTCAAGCAGCAGCCAAACAAAAGACGACTCTCCCTTTCTCGTGTTTGCAGCAGAAGGTAATGGAGCTTGTGCTTGCTTAGAACCTGAAGAGTCTGCCTCTTAATCCCCAATGTGTTATAGGAGTGGGCTGTAGTTCCACAGTGGTGTGGGGAAAGGCACTCTGTGTATGCTCAGAGGTGGTTCATTCTTATGTCACATGTTTTCTTCACAGCTGCATTCTAATATTGGAAGATGGGGAGAAAACCCTGGAACATCCTGGCCTGGAATATGCCCTGATCGTAGCTGTGGAGATCAGGAGCTCTCTGAAGAGAGGAGAAAGGTCAGAAGGATCAAAAGACCCATTGAAAGCAAAGTGTGTTGGGCTGAGACTTGGCGGCTGGCTTGGCTCCTAGGGGATGGTTTCAGCGTCCCGTTGACAATCCAGTTGTTGCAGAGGTCACCAGTGCAGCAACGGCTGTAAATAGCACCCAGGTTCTTGTAGACAGAAGTGTAAGGACTGTCACACCAGGATGGCGAAGCACAACCCTTGACGGCAGAGATTTGCCCAGTAGAACCTGAATGTGGAAATGAGCAGTGGTTAGTGACAGAAGGGGAGAAATTGGTTTCAGTTCTCATTTAAAGGCGAATTTTCTCCACATTGCATATTTTCTGAAACAATCTGAGAACCAAAACACAGCTATCTTCTGGAATGCACACTTCTCCAAATGTCATGATGCAGTTGTCCAATGGGTACAAAAATGTGTGTACATACAAATGCATATATTAGTGGAAAGAACATGCAAGCATGCATTATGAGGAACAATTGAAGGAGTATGCTTATCCTGGAAAAGAGCAGACTGAGAGGAGATATGATAGCCCTCTTTAAATATCTCAAGGGCTGTCATATGGAAGAGGGAACAAGCTTGTTTTCTCCTGCTTCAGAGGGTGGAACTTGAAGCAATGGCTTCAAGCTGCAAGAAGAGATTCCAACTAAACATAGAGAAAACCTTTTGATGGCCCTGACTCAGCAGCATGACCTACCCCTTCCCTATCCTTCTGGCACACCGTCTGCCTCCCCATGCCAGTTTTGAAAGCATTGAAATGATGTGCATTCACCTAAATGGATGTTATTGTTCCCACCCCTTCAAAGAACACATAGTTGTCCTATGCCAGTGGTTTACAACCAGTGTTCCGTAGTACCCTGGGGTGTCTTGAATGATGGTCAGGAGTGCTGCAGTCAACACTGGCCTCTTTCTTTCTTTCTTTCTTTCTTTCTTTCTTTCTTTCTTTCTTTTTTCTTTTTTCTTTTTTCTTTTTTCTTTTTTCTTTTTTCTTTTTTCTTTCCCTCCCTCCCTCCCTCCCTCCCTCCCTCCTCTGATGCCCTCTCATGTCTCTGCCTCCCAAAGGCTTGCACAGTTGTTTGTGGCAGCAGCTCTAGCTACAGGCAAATAGTACCTCTGGAGCTGGTGAGGGGGTGCTTCCCAGGCCCCTGGGGCACTGTGAGGAGGCACCTCTCTTGTGGGAAGGGAGGGCAGCTCAGAGACCAGGAGTGGCGGCAGCAGCTGGCCAGAGGACTCCCAAGGAGAGGGGAGGAGAGAGGAGGGAAGACTCCACAAGGGAGGGTGTTTTCAAAAAAGGGTGAGAGGCTGCCAGCTCTGCAGGCAAGGGGTGACATAACTGGGCTCCTAAGCCCCACAGGGGTGCCACAGAAAGAAGGTACTTGGTCAAGGGAGTCGTGGACTCAAAAGGGTAGAAAACCTCTGCTCTATGCCTCTTTCTGTTGGGATTAACCTGGTCACATTAAACTCCAGGTGGAGGGAGTGAGAAGGAATGAGTAGATGATACTCACCATGTATCCCTGAGGCCTCTAGGCATTGGGTCATCACACCCCGGCACTGCACCTTAGTGATGTCATCTGGGGAACAACCGTGGGTGGAATTCCCCTCACAACTGAAACACGTGACCCCATTCGGGTGGGGTGGGGTATCCTTGTAGTCTGTAGGCAGAATAAGTGAATACTCTCAGTACCATAAAGTTCATCCCAGGCTGTCTGCACCAAGGCCACATACTTATGGCTTTAAATTTTGGTCCTTTTTAAAATAAAATAAATGGAAGCCATTATTAAAGGGAGGCAATGGCGCAGTGTAGCACTATCCTAGAGCATGATGGGTAATAAAAGAAAGAAATTGTGGGCGCCAGCCCAGCAGCCACCTGGAAAAACACTGCATGACTGGTTTAAGCCATGGTTTGTTGAACAAATTTTGAGGTAACCATGGGTTATTTCCCCCAAACTTGTTTTCCCAAAGTTTGGATTCTTTTCCAGCTGTTCCTACACCATGTCTTTGTAGCTGGGGTAGGGTGGTCAAATAAACTATGGTTAGGAATTGGTGTTGGGTTCACACATCATGCTGAGACATATTTAAAATGAACCAAGGTTTCTAATGTAACAAGTAACAATAGCTTTGAATCATGAATTGTTGGCAGGAAATAGTTGAACTCTTGAGCAGGGTTTAGACATTATGCTGAGCAATGGTTTAAACCAGGGTCTCCCATAATCAGGTCTTCGGCTATTTTGGGATTACAACTCCCATCATCCCTAGCTAGCAGGACCAGTGGTCAGTGTTGATGGGAATTGTAGTCCAAAAACAGCTGGAGAGTTTTCCCAAGTTTGCGAAACCCTGCTTTAAACAATACTTTCGTGATCCATGGGTTATCATTTTGTGTGAACAACACCTGTGGGGCTGGTGAGTTTTGCCTTTCCCAGGGCCAGTCCAAAACCTTTTGGCACCTGAGGCAGACCCCAAAATTGCAAAAAAATAACAACAAACAAACCAAAACCATGAAGAAAGAAGAGGTAAGGAAAGATCTACATCAGGAACAAAGGGGGAAGGAAGTTCTATGCAGGGATTTCCTGCTCTTGTGGATCCTGCAGCCTGAGGCAGTCACTTCACCTTGCCTCATAGGTGGGCCAGCCCTGACCTTGCCCCCAAATTGATGGGGTTTCAGCCCTCCTTTTGACCCTAATTACCCCCCCCACACACACACTTCATATTTAGATTCTGGGTGGAATCTAGAATTTACTAGCTCTCAGACCCAAATCTGATTACAAAAAAACACAGGCTAGGTAGCAACCATATTGGCAAGCAGTATGTTTTTAGTATTTGATCTTTAACTTGCAGCAGTCAGGAAAGCTGCATGCGTTGACTTTCAGGACACAACACAGCTGTTAAAAGCACCATATTATATAAAAGGTGCCACCTGACCATCTTTGGTTCTGAGCCTCATTCCCTTTAATAGCAAATTCAAATGCTGATGCTGTGCTGATAGGATAGGAACTGAGGGAGGTATTGGCATGCTAGGGAGAACTCTGAAGTTTTCAGAAGAATATATATATACACACCCCACCCTGCTCAACAGCCCAGTGAGGACTGAGAATGCTCAGTGGCTACTACAGTGTCCCTATTTTCCAGGGACAGTCCCAGATTTACAGAAGCCATCCTGGTTTCTGATTTGATCCTGATTTGATACCTTAGGACGTCCCTGTTTTCATCAGAGAAATGTTGATGGGTATGGAGTTATGCGATCCCCGAGCCAAGGAGATAAGTAACTATGCAACGTTTAGAAGAAATCTGAAGGCTGAATAGGGAGGTTTTCAAATTCCAGAGTGGAGTTATTATGAAATAGTATGTCGCTATTTTCGCTGGGGGAAAATGTTGAAAAGTATGCTGCTAGGAGCTGTGGAATATTTGAGGGTCAGCTGGAAAAGGAAAATAGCAAACTATGGGGGTTTGGGGGAGTGAATTGACTTGCTACAGTTTATAGTATCACATAGAACTATGGTGGAATCTGGACACATAAAAAAAGTTGTGAAAATGCCTTTTAAAAAATGTTTGAAAAATATACTGAATTTGCCATAGCTCACCATCGCCATCTAGGGTCACATTTGTATATTGCACTTTGCAACACACTTAAAATGTTTTATTTGCAGCTGTATAGCTGGGTCCTCTGTCTCCCCCCCTGAGCAAGAACAATGCCATCAGGAGTTGGGAAAATACACAGAAACATTTTGTTGCAGACCCAGTTGGTGCTCCTGGAATCCCAAACCTTACCTTGCGTGTCATCATTGCACTGGCTGGAATTGCAGCATTTGATCAGATGGAAACTGTTCTGGTTGTGGAAGCCCAGAGGCTCCTGGCAGTGGGTAAGCGAGCCACAGCCCTTGATGCGCTGTTCGTCCCCCGGAAACTCTGCCAGTTGAGAGAAAACAGTGGCTGTAATTGTGGCCTTTTGTCTCTAGGAGGCGCTGGTGCAAATTTCATTGCAACAACCTCTCTTAGGAAGAACCCCATCAAACCAAAGGCTACAGGAGCTCACCTTCTGTCGCAGTGAAGGATGTGATGTCTATGCACTTCTCCTCTGGCCGTGCACAGCGCATCTGCATATGGCTGGAGTTGTAGCAGGTCTGGTCGGCTGAGCTGCAGGAATAGCAATGCAAGGGATTTCGTGGGCGACCCCGAGCAGTGAGCATATCCACGACTGCAGTTTGAGGAAAGCAGCAGCAGCAGGGAGAGAAGCAGAGAGAAAAATCAGGGCTGAACTTATTAGGTGAATCACAGTCACAAAGCATTCAGATATATTTTCAGGAATCTCCCATCTGGCTGGGATCAAACAATTTTATATAGGAACATGGATTTAAGGAGGCCAAGCCTACACAGTCATGCAATCTTTTATTTTGTCAGGATGTAAATCTTATTTTTTATGTGCGTTTACTTTTCCCATTAAACAAAATAATACGAGTAGAAGGGAAATCCTAGATAGATGTATTCTTCTTTCTACCCCCCACCCCCCCGCTTTATTTATGTTTTTCGTTACTTTAAACTTTAAAGTGTTTTCAATTTGTTCTGATGTAGGAAACTACCCTGGGACTTTCCAGTAAAGGGCAGGCAATAAGTAAATAAATAATGTGTATCCATAGCAGTGACCAGAGGAGGAATGACCGCTGGGAGGAACTCAGAGATAAGAAATGCCAGAGTACATCTGCAGCAGCACAACTGGACGCCTCCCTCTGCCCCAGCTGCAACCAAACATGTCTCTCCTGTATCAGTCTCTGCAGCCACAGCAGGTGCTGTAACTCTCCAGCGGTTTGATTTCATTGTCCTCCATTGTCTCTTGAGACAGAAGGATGCCAGCCGGGCAATGCCAACTTGACGTTTAATAAATAAAATTTAATGCGGAGAGGGAAACACCAGGACTGAAACTGCGACCCGGTTACAGAAATTAGCAGATCTAATTGCATGAGGTTTAGTGGTTCAAATGCATGCATGTGAACGGATAGAAGAAAAAGGCTTACTTTGGGTTTGGGACCAGCCTTTCACAGCCTGATACCCTTGGGAAGCTGTTGGACTCTGGAGCCCCAGCCAGCATGGGATGGTGGGGTTTGCAGCTTCCCCACCCCTGTGATCGAGGAGTCATTTGGCATGGGGGTGATTCAGCTCAGCTCCAGGGGTGAGGCTGCTTTCACACCAAAACAGATGTTGGGGCAAAGGCTTACTGCCCCTCCCCCTGTTCCAAACCCACCCTCGCAGCTGCTTTTGGGAAAACAAAATTATCCCGGGAGTTCTGTTCACGGGGTTCCAATTTAATGTGCAGCACACCTGCAGAGCGAACCCTCTCTGCTCACATGGACTGACCGTTTAGCACCCCCTGGTTGCAGAGGTCAGTCCCGCAGTGCTCCTCCGCCAAGAACACGACCTGGTTGCCAGAGAGGTGGGAGATGGAGTTGTTTGGCTTCCCACCCACGTCACAACCCTTCAGGATGTAACTGGAGATCTTAGATCCTGCAAGGAAAGAGAGAGAGAGGAAGTAAAAATGAAGGCACCATTCTTTTTTTCTTTTCTTTTTTAGAAGGCAACATTCCTAACTGCAGACTTAGCGCTCACGGCATAAATCCTGTTTCACAACTTAAGTAAAGGTAAAGGGACCCCTGACCATTAGGTCCAGTTGTGGCCGACTCTGGGGTTGCGGCGCTCATCTCGCTTTATTGGCCGAGGGAGCCGGCGTACAGCTTCCGAGTCATGTGGCCAGCATGACTAAGCCGCTTATGGCGAACCAGAGCTGCGCACAGAAACGCCGTTTACCTTCCCGCCGGAACGGTACCGATTTATCTACTTGCACTTTGATGTGCTTTCAAACTGCTAGGTTGGCAGGAGCAGGGACCGAGCAACGGGAGCTCACCCCGTCGTGGGGATTCGAACCACCGACCTTCTGATCGACAAGTCCTAGGCTCTGTGGTTTAACCCACAGTGCCACCCATGTCCCTGTTTCACAACTTACAGATATGCAAACCAGATTAGCTCTCACTTTAGGTCTTCCCCTTGTGGTTCTGTTTGGTTGTCACAGACTGTGGCACATATAAGTTTGTACATAGTCACCCTTCATTGAAATAAAATTTATCGACATTTTAAAAGTTGGTGCAAAGCTTCTCCAGGGTCCAGAGTGTGGGTGGCGTCACAAGCACTTGCCAATAGGTGCTCGTCACTGCCACTGTCCACACGCAACATGCTATAGACTAGCAAAAGAGTGTGTTGCTGCTTCCTTCCCAGGGCTCACTTGGGTGTGTTAAGACATGCATATGTTTCCACACCTGCAATGTTCCACCGTCTTTCAAATATTGCATGTCTTTTTCTGTAGGTCTGTCTACGCCTCTGTTTGACAGATTCCAGCAAACCCCATTGGGGTTGACTGGAAACCTAAGGTGCCGTTGCTTTATTGCTTTCCACACAAAAATGTTTCAGTAAATGTATCCATAAAATTTGCAAAGCACACACACAGAAGATATAAATACTGAGGGCTACCAGAGCTTCTCGCTCTGATAGCCAACCCCCACCCCACCCTTTTGCCCTTTGGCCACCAGCCCTTCCCCCACACCTGACCAAACCCCATTTTATTCACTTGCAACACAAAAACACAGAAACATTAGAAGCAGACCCACACCAATACAAAAAAGAACAATATATCTCGAAAAGGAAACAATAAAGTAAGTTTCTTCTCCTTTTATTGGGTGATCTCCCAGTTCTGGTATCATGAGGAGAAGAGAGTTCTCCTTTTACACATCCTTCTAAAAACCTCTATCTCAGGGTTTGGGTGTGTTTTCCCTTCCGAGGCAAGAGTTTCCTTTCTGGGCAACTTTCCAGGCACCGCATGACACTGGTGGGCGGGGCCAGAGGCAAGAGCAACAAAAGTGGGTGGAGTTACCTTTGTTTGGCTGGCTAGTTTCTACACCAGGCATAAGCAAACTCGGCCCTCCAGATGTTTTGGGACTCCCATCATCCCTGACCACTGGAGCTGTAGTCTGAAAACATTTGGAGGGCTGAGTTTGCTTATGCCTGTTCTACACCCTGCTCCTCCATCCAGCCAAGCATGAAGCATTGTCAGAGTTCAAGCCAAGCAAAAACCTTTGAGGAGGGTGCAACGCTGGGCTGATGAAGGGCATGATTCAAGAGTTGGAACGAGGGAGTTTGTCCTCGAGGGCTGCCTTTGACACCCATTCTGCCTAAGCTGAGGTTCCTCACCTCTGCTCTCCAGCTCCTTCTCATCTGCCTTGTCCTCCCTTTCCAATCCCCACAGCCTCCTCCTTCAAAAATACTCACGGGCCAGTATAGTCATTATGGTGGTGCTGCACTGCTCTTGGTACTCTTCGCAGATCTCCGTTTCCTGGCAGTCGCTGTCGCCATCACAAGCGTAGCATTCAAGGCCGGCGACTGAGAGAAGGGAAGGGAAGCCATTAGCAAACCAGGTTCAGCATAATGCAAATCGGGGTGTGTGTGTGTGTGTGTGTGTGTGTCCTTAACCTTTTCGAATCTGGGGGCTAGGGAACTACTGTAGTGGCCACAAAAATGCCCATTTTTCAGGAGAAATGCTGACAATCTGCCCAGCACCTATAGATGTGTAAAGATGGTGCCAAGTGAGCCTCCCTGGGGAGAACATTCCACAAGTGGGGGGCCACCACTGAAAAGGCCAGTTCTCATGTTGCCACCCACCTGACCTCCATAACACAGAGAAGGCCCTCAGATGGCATGTGTGGGCTCCATCCTTCCAGGGTTGGAGGCTCTGCTGAGCCAGGGTTTTGTCACAAGGGTTGTGTGAGGACACAAGTACTGCTGGGGATGGGGAAATCCTTAGCCCCCTGGCATCACTCATCACGCCTTTTAAGGTTATGTTCCTGCATGGCTGGGCATTTCCTTCCTTCTGCTTGGAAATGTCCTTCTCAACAGGATGTGAATATATTACACATCTGTCAGGTGTGAAGAAATGAAGCCAGGCGGCCAGGCTTTGGCAGACAAAGGATTTTTCCGGTTTAAAATTATGACTATTTTTACTTTCATGTGACAGCTCTAGAAGCAATTGGACAGTTGATTTACTGCAGGGCTAGGAAGCCCATGGCCCTCCCCATATTGCTGGACTAAGGTTGTATTCACATGTTTAGGGAAGCTTTTAATGTTTGATGTATCACAGTATTTTAATATTCTTTTGGAAGCCGCCCAGAGTGGCTGGGGAAGCCCAGCCAGATGGGCGGGGTATAAATAATAAATTATTATTATTATTATTATATTATGTGCTCTCAACAGCAAACACCCAGATCCTCATAGTTTCCCCCTAAGATGAGATTCTCTCTCTATCGCCTATTAAGAATAAAACACCTTGTTCTCCTTTTGGTTTGTTTGCTCCAACCATTGCACTTTACTCTCCACCCAGAATTAGGAGCACCAGACCTTTGTGTCAACTTAGTATTGTCTATGCTGCCTGGCAGTGGGTCTCCAAGATCCTCTTCCACTCTTCCAGCTCTACCTTGGAGAGGCCAGAGATCAAACCCTGGGACATGAGATGAGGTTGAGACCAATATTTAATCCATGCAAGAGAAATGATGGTTCGGCAGCTTTTAAAATACTTTTCAGTATGTATGCTACTAAGTGAATTTCAGGGGGATCTTAACAAGTAGTCAAAGATATCTGTGTTTGTAGTTAAACTGCAGGAAACCATAATTTCAATATAAATATACTGTACCATGTTTGGGGGCGGGGAATGCTTACAACGAAACTTTGACAGTTGCATGCCAGGCAAATGCTCTAACCACTTCTCTCTCACCTTTTTGCCGTGGGTGATCTGCCTGCCAGTCAGCACACCACTTCTCCTCTGCTTTACACCTCTGGTCTGCACACCAGACCCACATTTTCTTGTAATGATACCAAAAATAAAAATCTAGGAAGTTTGAGAACTGAACGCCCTCCCTTCCTCCAAAAGTTACACATTCTGATCACCACTGAACTTTGCTCCTCTCCACTACTGGAAAACAACAACCGAGAATTCTAAAAAAAGACATAACCACCATTCTGGAGAAAAACACACTCATGTGATATAGCAGACAGCCATTAGTCAGAAGATAATCTACATGACACACACACACATACACACATACACGATACTTACCGTGAGCTACCATCAAAGACAAGGAGAAGCTGAACCAAAATAATTCCATGGATGTGGTTTGGAAGAGAAGTTATTATTTCTTTCTAATTCACAGATCTAGCTTGCTGTCCCTGGCTGGTTCCTCTGTTCTGTGCAGGAAGAATGTTCTGCCAACCTCTCTCCCTCTTTCTCTCTCTCTGCTTATTCCTTCAAAAAAAGAAAAAGAAAACTCTTTTTCCCCCTCTGGCCCCACCCCTGAAATCAATTGGAAAGGAACTTTTATCATTTCTGCTATGCAGAACTTCAGAGGGTGACGCAGTCGATGATGTGACTGATGCAGGAAGAGGAGAAAGGGGGGGAACGGGGGAAAGTGGTGACAGTTTTATTTGTGTGCTGGGTATGTCTTGAAGGTTTCAAGGCTCTTCCCTGAAGTGCACTCTCATCGTCAGCACAGAGCCCCGGAGAATGTGAAACCAGAATGAAGAGGAAGCAAGCCTCATCTCCACTGACTCCTTGCAGTCCTTGGAGGGAGGGAGATTAAATAAAAAGCAGGAATGGGGCAGGGTGGGGGGCAGATTCCTGGTTGGCCCATGATCTCGCCTTTTATATGGTTTTAGAGCTGGGGAAGGTCATCTCGGAGACGCCACCCTTCTGCCCCTAAGGAGCCCCGGGTGGCAAACTGGTGTAGCATTTAAAACAAATTCCTGCCCCCCCAGATATTCCAAGGGGGCCCCAGGTGAAAATCGTGCAAACAGGGGGCCACAGCACAAGGCTAGGGGTCCACAGAGGGAGGTGAGAAGTGAAGGGAGAAATCCTGATTGATGGGGTATCCTCTTGGCCAGTCACAAGTAGTAGAGGGCAGCCCTCCAGGGCTAATGCTTCCCCCTTTTTATGCCACATGTGTTTTCTTAGAGTAGTGAAACTTAATTCTCTCCTCTTAGGCAAAGATCATAAGACGACCTGGCTGGTAGCCAGATTCTGCGCCCAGATTTGTAGGCACAGATCATCCTCTAGTATAAAATAGCTTACTAGGGAAATGCTGAAGTTTCCCTTTGGGGCCCCTCAGGGTCAATTTTTTATGGTAGCCCAAATCTCAGTTGGACGGTTGTGTGTGTGTGTGTGTGTGTGTGTGTGTGTGTGTATAAATTTTAACTCATGAGCTATTGCTGCAATCTGCTCCAATTGTATATTTTATCTTTATGAACTCTGTTTTTATTGTGTTGTGTTATGTGAGCTGGTCTTTGACCGTATTAAATTATCTATCTCTCTTAGAGCAGTGCTGGTTTGTTTCCGGAGGGAGAGGGCAATTGCTGAGCCTCCCATTTTGACCAGCAGAGCCAGTGATCCAGAACCCCCAGGTCAGGTAAATGCAGTGATGGGGTGGTAATGGGTAGGGCTGGGTGAGCCAGAGCTGCTTGTTGCTGCCGCCATTGCTGGGCCCAGAGGATCAGCGCCTTTGGATGTTGCCAAGGGGCGGAGGGCCCATCAGCAACGTTGGCTTGGCTCTGCAAGGTGAAATCCGCCCCAGCGCCTAGCCGAGCTGGGTCATCTGGAGCTGCTGACTTACATCTAGTAAATAACTGTTTACTCAGAAGAAAGCCGATGGGACGCAGGTGGCGCTGTGGGTTAAACCACAGAGCCTAGGACTTGCCAATCAGAAGGTTGGCGGTTTGAATCCCTGCGACGGGGTGAGCTCCCGTTGCTTGGTCCCTGCTCCTGCCAACCTAGCAGTTCAAAAGCACGTCAAAGTGCAAGTAGATAAATAGGTACCACTCCAGAGGGAAGGTAAACGGGGTTTCCGTGCGCTGCTCTGGTTCGCCAGAAGCGGCTTAGTCATGCTGGCCACATGACCCGCAAGCTGTACACTGGCTCCCTCGGCCAATAAAGCAAGATGAGCGCCGCAACCCCAGAGTCGGTCACGACTGGACCTAATGGTCAGGGGTCCCTTTACCTTTACAGAAGTAAGCCGCACTGAGTTCAGTGGGCCTTACTCCCAGGTAAGGGTGTGTGGAGCGATAGTGTTTTATTGAGGCAGCCTCGGAATGGCAAGACCTTTTTGCACCAGGTCAGTGAGGACCGCTTGCTTTTAAAAATTCTCCCATATATACACAACTGCCTGTGCGCCTTTTGGACCATATCTGTAGGTCCGCCCCCCCCCCCGTGTCAAATAACTTACAATATATTACAATTTATTTAAAACTCAATAAGATAGACAGCAATGCAATAGCATTACATCGGGGAAGAGTGCTTGTAAGTCCCACCGACCCCATTTTCTGATGTTCCAGCACATGCCAATTTGCAGCTGAGGTTTTGTACACACAATACATTTAAAGAACATTCAAAGCATAACATTTCCCTCAAGGAATTCTGGGCACTGTAGTTTATATCCCACAGAGTTATGATTCCCATCAACCCATAACAAACCACGGTGTCCAGAATTCCTTGAGCACTGTGATACTCCTTTGGATTTTCAAGGCCTTCCCCCAAAGAATTCTGGGAGCTGTAGTTTGTTAAAGGTGCAAAGACTTGTTTAGGAGACTCCTATTCCCTTACCAGACCTACAGTTCTCAGAGTGGTTTGACAATAAATCCCTCTTCCTAAGGTTCTCTGGGAACTGTAGGTCTGGGAGGGGAATGGGGGTGGCCTAAACAAGTCTCAGCAGTTTTAACAAACAACAACACCCATAAATCTATGGGGGAAGACTTGAACGTTCAAAGTAGTTTTGTAACACTTTAAAAGTATGCTGATTGTGGCCTACGTTTTGCTCAGCACAGACTCACTAAAATTAATGGACCTAATTTTGGTGGGTCTACTCTGCATAGGACTAGCCTTTGAGCCAGCCCATTCATGACTTTTTGAAAGGCACAGGGAAGTACAGTTGTACCTTGGAAGTCGAATGAAATGCGTTCTGGAAGTCCATTCGACTTCCAAAAAGATTGAAAACCAAAGCATGGCTTTTGATTGGCTGCTCCTACAGCCAATTGGAAGCAGCGGAAGCCCTGCCAGATGTTCGGCTTCCAAAAATAGTTCACAAACAGGAACAGTCACTTCTGGGTTTGCAATGTTCGGGAGCCAAAATGTTTGGGAACTAAGCTGTTTGACTTCCAAGGTACTGCTGTACTTTGCAGTGCCTACTCAGAAGTAAGCCCCAGCCCCACTGAGTTCAAGAGGACTTGCTCTCAATAAGTGAGTGTAGGATTTCAGGTGTACATGAACAAACACACAAGTGGAATCTTGATGACATAGCATGAATCACTGTCTATTGTGAGCCACACACACTGAGCACAGCATCTGACTCAGCCTGGCGAAGTTCCCTCAGGCCTACAAATTGAAATGGAAGGCAGCTGTTAAGGAAATGAGTGCTGGCACTGAATTTGATGGGTCTACTTGAAAAAGCATGTCTGTTTTAGGCAGGCACTGAAAAGAATACAGGGAAGGTGGCTGCTTGATCTCAAGAGGCAGGGTGTTCCAAAGTAGATCTCAATGGATGACTGTGTTTTGGCTTAAGTATTCTTCCAGAAAGTGCAAATTAGGCAATTTTTGCATTTACAGTGGACCTTCTAGTTATGTACCGCTCTGGATACGTAACTTTCGGTTTACCAACGTGGCAAACCGGGAAGTGTATACTTCCAGGTTTTGCCACACGCACATGCGCAGAAGCGCTCAATCACACCGCACATGTGCGCAGAAGTGGCACCTCTGTCTACGGATGTTTCGGGTTGCAGACAGACCCCCAAAATGAATTTAATTTGTATCCAGAGCGTCCACTGTAATGGCAAACCAAAATGAATTCCTCCATAGTCCCTTACTGTGGCTAACCTTCCATCATTTAATTGTCTCTTTATGGTGGCCGATGGTGGTTTTAAAATTTCAATGGTTGGCTTTAAATGGTTAGCAACTTTTGAAATGCTTTTAGTTTTGAAGAGCAAGGTTGTTGTTGTTTTTAAAATAAGCTTGTGAAGATTACTTGATGCTGGGAATGGAGGAGAATTTTGAATCAGTACACATATGAATCTGAATCTATCAAATTTTCACTTTCTGAAGCATTATGCGAACCAAAACACAACTATCCTCTGAAATGTGTACATATCTGAATTTTGCAATGCAATTCGTCAGCCAACCAATGTTCCAATGTTTACCCCCAAAAAAGCACATTTAGGGGAAAGTGTGCATAAAAATGAATAAATGAGTGAAAAATGACATGCAAACATGCATTATGTATGGAGAAATTGTTTGCAAGGAAACCTACATTACTCACAACTGCATATTAAGAAGTATTGCTTTTAGATGAAATTTGCACGAACGTGATGAATTTTCATGGGGTTTGTAAAAAAAAAAAACAATTGCAAAATGTGAAGAACTGAATTTAAGTTTGGAACAATGAGAAACTGAGGAAACTGAAATTGACAGATCCTTCCATACCTACTCGATGCAAACACATTTGAGGAAATGCTCTTTTAGAGGAAACTACACAAAGCGCTAAACTGAATGTTGTGACGTTCTTCAGACTTGCTGCTTATGAGGCAACTGGGGAAAGAGGAAGGCCACGTGGCAAAAGCAGACAGACTTCTTCCCCTTTATCTTGGATTCTCCTGGGCACTCTTAATCCCATAATTGTTTGAATCACTGCTGACTAAGCCTTCCCTTATACTGACCACATAGAGCAGCATTGAAACCCAAACAATCTGAATTCAGTTTTAAACCAGAAACCCAACTTTTGGGATGAGTTGAAGGGACATTGCCACTCACAACAGCTACCTCACAGAGCACAATGTTACTTATTGTTTGGGTAAAACGCTGGCTGTTTGGACAGGCCAGTTGTGGGCTTGAGCAGAGGGGGTCCTCTGGAAGGGGTTCCTTCTGTGGGGACCTTCAATGCACCCCCAAAGGCTACCCAGTAGCATCCATGCTCCTCTGAATGGTGCCAGGTGGGTGCATTTTAATTTCCCACACTGTCTTAAATGTATAAATCCACACAACGAAATCAAAGCATATCTAGGTAAGGTAAAGGTAAACGACCCCTTGATGGTTAAGTTCAGTCAAAGGCGACTATGGGCTGTGGCACTCATCTCGCTTTCAGGCTGAGGGAGTTGGCGTTTGTCCACAGACATCTTTCCGGGTCATGTGGCCAGCATGACTAATCTGCTTCTGGCGCAACAGAACACCGTGATGGAAACCAGAACGCACGGAAACATTGTTTACCTTCCCGCAGCAGCGGTACCTATTTATCTACTTGCACTGGCGTGCTTTCGAACTGCTAGGTTGGCAGAAGATGGGACAGATCAACAGGAGCTCACTCCATCGCAGGGATTCAAACTGCCAACCTTCTGATTGGCAAGCCCAAGAG